TTCACCCACTCCGTCCTGGTCTCACACCTTAACCCACTCCGTCCTGGTCTTACACCTTAACCCACACTGTCCTGGTCTCACACCTTAACCCACTCCGTCCTGGTCTCACACCTTAACCCACTCTGTCCTAGTCTCACACCTTAACCCACTCCGTCCTGTCTCACACCTTAACCCACTCCGTCCTGGTCACACATCTTAACCCACTCCGTCCTGGTCTCACACCTTAACCCACACTGTCCTGGTCTAACACCTTAACCCACTCTGTCCTGGTCTCACATCTTAACCCACTCCGTCCTGGTCTCACACCTTAACCCACTCCGTCCTGGTCTAACACCTTAACCCACACCATCCTGGTCTCACACCTTAACCCACACCATCCTGGTCTAACACCTTAACCCACTCCGTCCTGGACTCACACCTTAACCCACTCCGTCCTGGTCTCACACCTTAACCCACACCGTCCTGGTCTAACACCTTAACCCACTCCGTCTTGGTCTCACACCTTAATCCACTCCGTCCTGGTCTCACATCTTAACCCACTCCGTCCTGGTCGCACACCTTAACCCACACTGTCCTGGTCTCACGCCTTAACCCACTCCGTCCTGGTCTCACACCTTAACCCATTCCGTCCTGGTCTAACACCTTAACCCACTCCGTCCTGGTCTCACTCCTTAACCCACTCTGTCCTGGTCTCACACCTTAACCTACTCTGTCCTGGTCTCACACCTTAACCCACTCTGTCCTGGTCTAACACCTTAACCCACTCTGTCCTGGTCTAACACCTTAACCCACTCCGTCCTGGTCTCACATCTTAACCCACTCCATCCTGGTCTCACACCTTAACCCACTCCGTCCTGGCTCACACCTTAACCCACTCCGTCCTGGTCTCACACCTTAACCCACACTGTCCTGGTCTCACACCTTAACCCACTCCATCCTGGTCTAACCCCTTAACCCACTCCGTCCTGGTCTCACACCTTAACCCACTCCGTCCTGGTCTCACACCTTAACCCACTCCGTCCTGGTCTAACACCTTAACCCACTCCGTCCTGGTCTAACACCTTAACCCACTCCTTCTGATCTCACACTTTAACCCACTCCTTCCTTGTCTCACACCTTAATCCACACTGTCCTGGTCTCACACCTTAACCCACTCCGTCCTGGTCTCACACCTTAACCCACTCTGTCCTGGTCTCACACCTTAACCCACACTGTCCTGGTCTCACACCGTAACCCACTCCGTCCTGGTCTAACACCTTCACCCACTCCGTCCTGGTCTCACACCTTAACCCACTCCGTCCTGGTCTTGCACCTTAACCCACACTGTCCTGGTCTCACACCTTAACCCACTCCGTCCTGGTCTCACACCTTAACCCACTCCGTCCTGGTCTCACACCTTAACCCACTCCGTCCTGGACTCACACCTTAACCCACTCCGTCCTGGTCACACATCTTAACCCACTCCGTCCTCGTCTCACACCTTAACCCACACTGTCCTGGTCTAACACCTTAACCCACTCTGTCCTGGGCTCACATCTTAACCCACTCCGTCCTGGTCTCACACCTTAACCCACACTGTCCTGGTCTCACACCTTAACCCAATCCGTCCTGGTCTCACACCTTAACCCATTCCGTCCTGGTCTCACACCTTAACCCACTCCGTCCTGGTCTCACACCTTAACCCACACTGTCCTGGTCTCACACCTTAACCCATTCCGTCCTGGTCTCACACCTTAACCCACACCGTCCTGGTCTAACACCTTAACCCACTCCGTCTTGGTCTCACACCTTAATCCACTCCGTCCTGGTCTCACATCTTAACCCACTCCGTCCTGGTCGCACACCTTAACCCACACTGTCCTGGTCTCACGCCTTAACCCACTCCGTCCTGGTCTCACACCTTAACCCATTCCGTCCTGGTCTAACACCTTAACCCACTCCGTCCTGGTCTCACTCCTTAACCCACTCTGTCCTGGTCTCACACCTTAACCTACTCCGTCCTGGTCTCACACCTTAACCCACTCTGTCCTGGTCTAACACCTTAACCCACTCTGTCCTGGTCTAACACCTTAACCCACTCCGTCCTGGTCTCACATCTTAACCCACTCCATCCTGGTCTCACACCTTAACCCACTCCGTCCTGGCTCACACCTTAACCCACTCCGTCCTGGTCTCACACCTTAACCCACACTGTCCTGGTCTCACACCTTAACCCACTCCGTCCTGGTCTAACCCCTTAACCCACTCCGTCCTGGTCTCACACCTTAACCCACTCCGTCCTGGTCTCACACCTTAACCCACTCCGTCCTGGTCTAACACCTTAACCCACTCCGTCCTGGTCTAACACCTTAACCCACTCCTTCTGATCTCACACTTTAACCCACTCCGTCCTTGTCTCACACCTTAATCCACACTGTCCTGGTCTCACACCTTAACCCACTCCGTCCTGGTCTCACACCTTAACCCACTCTGTCCTGGTCTCACACCTTAACCCACACTGTCCTGGTCTCACACCGTAACCCACTCCGTCCTGGTCTAACACCTTCACCCACTCCGTCCTGGTCTCACACCTTAACCCACTCCGTCCTGGTCTTACACCTTAACCCACACTGTCCTGGTCTCACACCTTAACCCACTCCGTCCTGGTCTCACACCTTAACCCACTCCGTCCTGGTCTCACACCTTAACCCACTCCGTCCTGGTCTCACACCTTAACCCACTCCGTCTTGGTCACACATCTTAACCCACTCCGTCCTCGTCTCACACCTTAACCCACACTGTCCTGGTCTAACACCTTAACCCACTCTGTCCTGGGCTCACATCTTAACCCACTCCGTCCTGGTCTCACACCTTAACCCACACTGTCCTGGTCTCACACCTTAACCCAATCCGTCCTGGTCTCACACCTTAACCCATTCCGTCCTGGTCTCACACCTTAACCCACTCCGTCCTGGTCTCACACCTTAACCCACACTGTCCTGGTCTCACACCTTAACCCATTCCGTCCTGGTCTCACACCTTAACCCACTCCGTCCTGGTCTAACACCTTAACCCACTCCGTCCTGGTCTCACACCTTAACCCACTCTGTCCTGGTCGAGCACCTTAACCCACTCCGTCCTGGTCTCACACCTTAACCCACTCCGTCCTGGTCTCACATCTTAACCCACTCCGTCCTGGTCTAACACCTTAACCCACTCCGTCCTGGTCTCACACCTTAACCCACTCTGTCCTGGTCGAGCACCTTAACCCACTCCGTCCTGGTCTCACACCTTAACCCACTCCGTCCTGGTCTCACACCTTAACCCACTCTATCCTGGTCTCACATCTTAACCCACTCCGTCCTGGTCTCACACCTTAACCCACTTCGTCCTGGTCTCACACCTTAACCCACTCCGTCCTGGTCTCACACCTTAACCCACACTGTCCTGGTCTAACACCTTAACCCACTCCGTTCTGGTCTCACTCCTTAACCCACTCCGTCCTGGTCTCACACCTTAACCTACTTCGTCCTGGTCTCACACCTTAACCCACTCCGTCCTGGTCTCACACCTTAACCCACTCCGTCCTGGCCTCACACCTTAACCCGCTCCGTCCTGGTCTCACATCTTAACCCGCACTGTCTTGGTCTCACAACTTAACCCACTCCGTCCTGGTCTCACACCTTAACCCACACCGTCCTGGTCTAACACCTTAACTCACTCCGTCCTTGTCTCACACCTTAACCCGCACTGTCTTGGTCTCACAACTTAACCCACTCCGTCCTGGTCTCACACCTTAACCCACACCGTCCTGGTCTAACACCTTAACTCACTCCGTCCTGGTCGAGCACCTTAACCCACTCCGTCCTGGTCTCACACCTTAACCCACTCCGTCCTGGTCTCACACCTGAGCCTGAGCTCACAGCCCTCGCACTGGCCACACAAACAAAGCTGGGGCCTCAATATCAAGAACCCACGCATCCTACCATACACGACCCACATTAGGGGTGCCACGTTGGCGAGATGTTAACGACCTCGTTTGGTGCACAGGAGGTCATGGGTTTGATCCAGACCTTGACGCCTGTATTTTTGGGGTTTGCATGTTTCCCTCCCCGTGGTTGTGAGGATTTGTATCCCTTCACATTTAGAATCAAGATCATGGATTCAGAGTATTGGCAGCTATAAAATTCCACGTGACAAGCCACTTCGTTGAGCTATCATTTGTGGCCAGTTCGCTTCTGAAAAAGAGTTTCGTAGCTCAGTGGGCCCTACCTGGCAAAATAAAAAAAAAACATTGTTTAGTTCATCCATAATAGAGTTTTTTTTGGGTTAAGTCGCGTAAATATATAAATGTGTCGTTTAAACCCGCCACCACCCGACACAGCCAACTAGTAAGGGTTGTCACGTAAACAGAACATGCCAATTCGTCACTAGTACAGCAACACCAGTGTGTTGGAGAGCCAAGCCACAACATTTACAATCTGAGGATGACGTTTCGCTAGTAATTACAACTAGCTTCATGATGCGACAGCCAGATTTAGTTTCACACACCTCCCAGTGACATCACAAATATTGCACCCATCGCCTCACCACGCCTCGTTCCTCCCAGGCCTTACACATTCACACTCATTCTTCATGCTCTCCTCACAAGCAAAGTCTTCTTGCCCACCCTGTTTATGCGTCACACGCCTTACCACGATCTCATGGACCTTAACGACGTCTCGGCGATTTCGCGTCTCTTGCACCACACGCTGGTCTCGCGCGCGCCCAACCAAGGTCTTGAACGTTGTACAAACGTTGCACGACCACACCACCTCAAGCTCGCACACTCCACACGTTGATGTCCTTTCCCCGCACCACCGAGTAGCTCGGCTGGCTATGTAGACACGTTGCACGACCACACCACCTCAAGCTCGCACACTCCACACGTTGCACGAGCAGCAATTCTCTCACCCAGCGTTGTCTGAACCGAACGCGGCTGCTTGACGCGGCTTCTCAATGGCACGGCGTTTCCCGGACAGGCGTGGCGAGCGATGTGAACACGACGCCGCGAGCCGCCTGCGGCCTGCCCTGGCTGGAGGTGCGCGATGGCTTCCCAGACGGCGAGGGCCCCCCGTCCGCGCCGCTGCGCCTCCTGCGCATCTGCAGCGAGCGGCCGGCCTCCGCGGGCGCGCCGGCCGCGCCGCCGGCGGCGGCGCCCTTCCGGAGCGTCCTGTCCAGCCGCGGCGAGCTGACGCTCGAGTTCCAGTGGGCGGGGGCCGGCGCCGCCGAGGGCAGCGTGGCGGCCGCGGAGTTTCAGGCGACGGTGACCTTCACCGGTGAGCGGCGCCGTCCCTCACCGCCGCCTCCCTCCGCACGCGAAGCCGCGTTGCGGTCTCGGCACGTCTCCGAGTGTCCGTCAGTTGTCAGTTTTCATTCCGTCGCGCGGTGACACGAAGGTTCCACATGAAACCCTCGCAGAGTAGTGCGACCCTTTGTGTTGGAGAGCGGCCCACAAAAGCGGATATCACAGAGCTCCCTCTGACTTCTGGACTACACAGGAGGGGGCAGTACTCTCCTCACCCCCCCCCACCTCCCCAACTCTGCATGCAAGAAGAAATGTTCATCACAACACGGTCAATCTTATTTTTTATTCTCACAGTGGGAATGCATCCAAAGTAAGTGCACATCCAGATTGAATGCAGCATTTGTTTTTTATATTCACTGGTGAAGGGGTTGAGACTGTCAACTCACTACGCTTATGAACCCCACCCCGTTCACTCGCAGGTGGCCCGCCTGACTTCTGAGCCACCCTGCACATCTCCCTCTGCATATAAAAGATATATGCAGTCGAAAACAACAACTTGCCGTGGTCGTGTAGCTTTACGCACCTCCAATATGGGTCCCGGGCTGTCCGTACAAGCTTGAAGCTTCGTTCATGAGAAAATTACTTTAAAGCTGTCTTTAAGAGTGCACTGCAGTGACACCACTGCAGCGATGTGTTAAAAGCTGTTTCAAATCGATGACGTTGCTAGAGCGCCATTGCAGGCATTCCACAGAGGTGCTTTTACATTATTTTGCAAAATCATATCGGCTCTTCAGAGCGCTTTTCTCTTGCTGCTCATCGGCCGACTGATGTCTGTCACCTCTCAACGTGAACCCTCGTGGAAAAGCGTCAGCTGCAACGAGAGACACGATGCACCGAGGGCGATCTCTATCAAAGACTAAACTATTTTTTTGTTATTTGACCAGATAATGCCCACGGAGCTATGTAGCTCTTTTTCTGAAGCAGCTTGGCCACAAATGATAGCTCAACCAAGTGGCATCTCATCATGTGGAAATGTATACCAGCCAAATACTCTAAATGCACGTTGACTCTAAATGTGGAGGGGAAAAACGGAGCACCCGGAGAAAAATCCACTCATCCACAGGGAGAACATGGAAACTCCAAATATACAGGCGTCAGGGTCAGGATTGAACCTATAACCTCCTGTATACCAGGCGAGGTAGTTAACATCTCGCTGCCGCGGCACCCAAGACCCGGTGGTGTCGAGGAGTGGACTATTACAGTTGCGGCAATGTAACTGCGATGGCGATGATCATACAGCGTGGTCTCGTTGGCACGACAGGCTCGTGAAATAGTCTGTTGGGCTGTTGTCTGGGTTGGGAGCGGCAGACAGACGGTGGGAGTGTGAAGAGTGAGGGGTTGGGAAGAATGGGAGTGGGGAGGTTCGGGTCGTGGTGCCGTTTGTGGAAACGTGAGCCACTGTGGACCTGACTGGATGAGAACTCGTGCCGTTGAATGATAAACGGTCACCGTTTTCAGAAACGATTCCCCATCCTGAAAGTTGGGAAGCAGTCATCGTTTCCAGTGGAATGGTAGTAACGAGCACACCGATTGGCACACGCAAACGGACAAACCACACGGCGGTCTAAGGCACCCCTTGGAACGTTTTCTCTCGTATCTCGGTTTTAAAGGAAAAACAAGGAAAGCCAAAATCGGATTTTAACTTAATTTTGGAGATTCAAACGCTTTAATTTTCATTCCCATGTGACAAACACTCCTCCGTAGAGGGTTGTGTGGGAAGGTGCATCACCTCGTGTGGCTAAGAGACAAGCGGACGGACCTCGAAGAAGGCTTTGTGACTTGGTCTCACACGAGGTGTTCACTGCATTTGGATCCTCGTATGGAATGCGCGTTATGAATTTGAATGATTATTTTAAAGAGTTGCAAACGAAGAATGTCCTTATCTCATTCCACGAGAGCAATGGTGCAGTTAGACTGAGATGAGACGGAGAAGAAGCACAGCATGTGCTGCCAGTGTGCACGAGGCGTGCCGAATTCCTGAGCGTGTGCGCTGCTTCTTACTGCGTTTCAGAGTGCAAGTTCCGCTGCCGGGACGGGCAGTGCGTCTCCTCCTCGCTGATGAGGTGTGACGGGGCGAGCCAGTGTGCTGACGCCAGCGACGAGGAGGGCTGCAGCCCCGGCACTGACCAACCGTCGCACCGCAGCCTGCAGGGTATGGCGCGTAACCACGGGCGCGACACATAACCATGCACGCAACACGTAACCGCTCCCGACACATAACCACGCACGCGGCAGTTAACCACGCACGCGGCACGTAACCGCGCGCGACACGTAATGCAGAGACCATCCTGTAGGGTACACGAAGTGCAGTGCATGACACAACACCGCATGTAATAGGAAACTTGTAATGCATTGCACGTGATGCACAGTGCATTACATGCAACACACCACATAATACAAGGCATTTAATACGTGACAATTCATAGCACATGACATCCAGTGCGGGACATAATTAATGGTACATGGCACACAGCACACATCACTTAATACATGGCACATAACACTTGGAAGGTAATACAATAGCACGTGATGCGAAACAGCATACGTCATACACGAAACATAATGTGCGGATGTGCAGCACTTCATAAATGACAATTAATCCCCGGGAGATAATACATGATGCGGCATCTAAGAGCAGCACGTCGTGCAGCGCGAGCAAGACATGTCCTACGTGACGTGCTGCACTTAATGCAAGCCACTTAACGTGCGGCAGATAAGACAGGCTACATAACATAGAGCAGATAATACATGCACATAAAGCCTGGAACATGTTGCACAGACACATTGCCGACACAATACTTAGTGCATAACATAAAGCATGATAATCGGTGACTAATGCACGGCAGTAGTACTTTCCTCAATATACAGCACGAAACACCTAACACAGTACAGGTAGTCTTCTACTTATGATGGAGATGCGTTACGACGACCCCATCGTAAGTCAAAAATATCGTACGTCGAAGATGGCCCTAGCCTACCCAGGAGTCTTAAAGAATGGTGATAATTTAGCAAAACAGAGCAATTTACAGTATTGTACATTATAAACTATATACTCTATGTATTTATTAATTACAATACTGTATTGCACAGTAAAATGTAAAGTAAAAAAACCAAGGTAAATTCTTAGCCTACATATATGAACTGCAATTTAATAGAAAGTTTTTTTCAGGAAACAATCCTATCTGCTATAAAAACTTTTAATATGGTGAGAGTGAGGCATCACCACACAAGGCGGGAGACGCGTACATCCCGGCAGCGTCCCAACGTACAGTATCGTACCTCGTACGCTGCTGCGTTTGCCTGCCGCGCAAAATTTAAAATATTTTACAATTCTAGATTTAAAGCTTTCGTGACTGCAAGGATCCATACTCTTTGGTTCTATTCGGTAAAGTCACGTAGGTAAAAGATGAAACAACAAAAATCACGACGTTTCGGCCACAACACAAGCAGCCTTCATCAGGTGAAGGGACCAGGCTGTCTCGAGGACAGCGCTGGAGTGAAACACAGCCACGCTGTTCTAAATCGAACCAAACATTAAACTAATTTTCAATGGTACAGTATATTTTTCAAGTAGTGGTACCCCAAACTTTCGCAGCTCTTAAAAATTCCCTTTTCACACCATCAATAGGTAAACTCCCCCTCCCCCCCGCGCCAACCGGCTTGTTCACCCGCATGTACACCACCTCTACACCGTTCATAATGCTAAGTCGGCCAATCAAATGCTATTTTTTATGCTAATTCCTTTGTCAAGGCACCTTGTTTCCTCGCACACAGCTTAAAGGTCGCGGTCTGAGCGTGGCTGTGTTTCACTCCAGCGCTGTCCTCGAGACAGCTGGTCCCTTCACCTGATGAAGGCCGCTTGTGTTGTGGCCGAAACGTCGTGATTTTTGTTGTGTTATTTTTTTACCTACGTGACTTTACCGAATAGAACCAAAGAGTAATATTTTACAATTTTGCCGTATCGCTATCGCCATCGTAAGATCGAAATATCGTAAGTCGGACCATCGTAACTTGGGGACTATCTGTACATGAAGCGTGAAGCGCAGGGCATAGTGCTTACATAGTGCGTGCATGAAGTGCTGGGTGTAAAATGTGACACACTGCACATGATATGTAGCGTTGCACGTATTGTAATGTCACAATGCGTTTAACGTCACATTGCGTGCAATGTTACTATGCGTGGCACATGGCGGGCCGCGTGATGACTCGCGATGCTGAACGCACGGCGCACGCCATCATGTCTGGCACGCCACACACCGCGGGCTGCAGGGCGCGCGGCTCGCTACACGCGGCACACTGCACGTGGCTCACGGCACATTGCACGCGGCATCCTACACGCGGCACACTGCACAGGGCAACGTGCGGGACACCGTGTGTTGGGCGCCGCGTACAGGAAGACTGAATGCACAGGTTTTGTATCGTTTTCTTTGTGACTCCGTGTGTCTGCGTGAGCGCATGTCTTAATTTTCCGTTATTTGCGTGCTGTGAGAGAGGACCATCGCCCAAAACGTCGCCTCTTATCCACTGTTCCTCTTCAGGCAGTGCTGTTGACGAATGTGTTGAGTTTTTTTTTGTAATTTGCCGTGATACTGCCGTGAACAAAATCAACTTTGAGATTCGAAAGAACTTATGGACCGGTTGGAAATTGTCATGCAGACAGATTAGAAACGGATCGGCTTCCAGTGGCGATTGTGAAGTGATGAGCGTTGTTGCCACCACTTGGACAATGCTGAGCAATAGGGAACGGGAAATGTTTTTTGTACGTGTACAATTTATAAACCTACTCATTGTTTTTTTCGGTAAAGTCACGTATGTAGAAATACAATAAAATTATATTAAAACAAAAAAGAATCATGACGTTTCGATCACAACGCAAGCGATCTTCATCAGGTGTCAAGAACAAATCACGGAGGTAAATACAACAAAAAGATGAGAGATGAGAATTCAACAAACCTGAAAAAACATTATGTGAAGCACATCCAGTCAGGCCAACAACACAGTTAGACACTTCCTGGCGGACCACGAATTTCAGAAGTGTTAAATTTAGTGTTCAACCTTTGGATTGCACATACCAGCATAGGCAGAATGAAAAATACGAAGTACACGGTCAGTAGAAATACATATACAAGTCCACCAAGAGGTAAGGAGGGAGGAAAGACGGACAGGGAGGCAGAGAGAGAGGGGGGGGGGGATGAACAGAAGCTTAAATAGGAAATACGGTTGGAGGGGGGTAGGGGCCAGAGCGAGAGCGGCAGCTCAAACACGCACATCTTACACGTACAAAACGGCAGCTCAAAAAATGACCACCTCTTGTAAATACAAAACGGCAGCTCAAAAAAGGGCACATCTTACACATAATTACAACGGTAACTTCCCCGTAGAAGTGTGATAATAAAGTATTAAAGCTTTCATGACTGCATAAAATTACTCATTGTTTTTTTCGGTAAGGTCACGTATTCTTTGAGCTGCCGTTTTGTATTTACAAGAGGTGGTCCTTTTTTGAGCTGCCGTTTTGTATGTGTAAGATGTGCGTGTTTGAGCTGCCGCTCTCACTCTGGCCCCTACCCCCCTCCAACCGTATTTCCTATTTAAGCTTCTGTTCATCCCTCCGCCCCTCCCCCTCTCTCTGCCTCCCTGTCCGTCTTTCCTCCCTCCTTACCTCTTGGTGGACTTGTATATGTATTTCTACTGACCGTGTACCTCGTATTTTTCATTCTATCTATGCTGGTATGTGCAATCCAAAGGTTGAACACGAAATTTAACACTTCTGAATATTCGTGGTCTATCAGGAAGTGTCTAACTGTGTTGTCGGCCTGACTGGATGTGCTTCACATAATGTTTTTTCAGGTTTGTTGAATTCTCGTCTCTCATCTTTTTGTTGTATTTACCTCCGTGATTTGTTCTTGACACCTGATGAAGATCGCTTGCGTTGTGATCGAAACGTCGTGATTGTTTTTTGTTTTAATATAATTTTATTGTATTTCTACATACGTGACTTTACCGAAAAAAACAATGAGTAATTTTATGCAGTCAGGAAAGCTTTAATACTTTAATTTATAAACCACCAAGACAGTTCCTAGTCACAGTCGCATCAAAGTGTCTCCCAGCTCAAATAAGCAAAGGGGACAATGCTCAAATATGTTTGTCAGCCTTGAGCCTACGTATGGTGGACATTCCACATTCCTATAGTGAGGGTTAGCTTCTGAATAATGTATTGTATGTATGTTGAACTTCTTTCGCACCGTACGAAGCCAACCGTGCTAATCGGAGGTGCGAGGAAGGATGACATAGTTCAACAATGGTTGACTTCCCTCAAAATGGTACTCATCGACCAACCCCAACGGGATGGTATCCTAAGTCAACGCATATCCTGGATTGGAACTCGCGAATCTTGTGAGGCAAGCACTTTTGTCAGCCACAGCAGAACGTCGCTCGTGTGCACGCACACGGCAACCCTGCTACGCTTGAGTGTTCGCCATTTGTTTTCAAAATTGTGTACGGTTGGTTGGTAGACAAATTGGAATCGTCCTCAGTTTGGCTGTCAAATTTGTGGGTGTGCAGTGATTTGTCACATCAGCACTGGGATGAAGAAGGCGGGTGTATACAGTGAGGGAAAAAAGTATTTGATCCTCTGCTGATTTTGTACGTTTGCCCACTAACAAAGAAATGATCAGTCTATAATTTTAATAGTAGGTTTATTTGATCAGTGAGAGACAGAATAACAACAACTAAATCCAGAAAAAAGCATGTCAAAAATGTTATAAATTGATTTGCATTTTAATGAGGGAAATAAGTATTTGACTCCCTCTCAATCAGAAAGATTTCTGGCTCCCAGGTGTCTTTTATACAGGTAACGAGCTGAGATTAGGAGCACACTCTTAAAGGGAGTGCTCCTAATCTCAGCTTGTTACCTATATAAAAGACACCTGTCCACAGAAGCAATCAATCAATCAGATTCCAAACTCTCCACCATGGCCAAGACCAAAGAGCTCTCCAAGGATGTCAGGGACAAGATTGTAAACCTACACAAGGCTGGAATGGGCTACAAGACCATTGCCAAGCAGCTTGGTGAGAAGGTGACAACAGTTGGTGCGATTATTCGCAAATGGAAGAAACGCAAAAGAACTGTCAATCTCCCTTGGCCTGGGGCTC